TTTCTTCTGGAGTTAAAAATGTTGGAAAAACGAGTTTCACACGAACATTTTCGAAATGCTCTCGAAGCATTACAAGTAGCTAATACAACGTCTTTTGGGAATGTTTTTAAGATCTTACGTATATTGGCACTTTTGTCCGTTTCAATAGCCACACCTGAACGAAGCTTTTCATGCCTGAAAATAATTAAAACCTACTTGAGAAATACAACATGTCAAGAAAGACTCAACAGTCTAGCATCTATGAATATTCACAAAGATGCAAATTTTTCAGTTGACGAGGTTCTAGAAGAATTTTTCAAAAAACCACGAAAAATTTGAAAATTCTTCGTTTCATTGATTTATAAGTAAAAAGAAAAATTTAATGTGTTTAAAATTTTCAAAATGTTTTATAAATAAAGCGAAAAATTGAATATATGATTTTAAAAATTCGTGTTTGAAACTTTATTACGCATACTTTCTTCTAAAGAGCCTTTTTTCTAGACCCATATTAATGAAATATTAATCTTTGACTTCCGCCACTGATACTATGTATATATTCTTCTTTACAATTACTCAAAGTTATCTTTATCTTTACTTTTATCGTTATCCTCATCCTCATATTTTTCCTTATATTAATCTTTATCTTTGCCGTTATGTTTATTCTTTTCATATTCGTCTACATATTTACCTTCACATTTGCCCTTCAAAAATTAATAATTTACTAATATTTAGAATGCAGTATAAATTGGTGGGATGCAAAAACAATTTTCGCAATTTTTTAAAACTTCTCCTCTAGTGTGCAACTTTTGGAGCAAAGTTTTTGGTGTTTTAAAGCAATACAGATTCACTATTTAGTTTTAATTTAACGCAGGAATCCAAATTTATTTCTGTTGCTTTTTACCATGATCTGACCGAAGCATAAAATGAAAAAGTTAGTCTCAATTGAAAATTGAGTTTAATTAACCTACTACAGAAAAAGAAATTAGCAAATATTTAACCTTACATTGAAACACTGACCCCAACACCTCCTAAGTAAATACTAACCTTGCGCTGTGCGAATAGGGCCATCCGCTCACGTTCACGACTCGAATCACGTGCCCGCTGCTCTCGCAGTTGCTCACGCTGCTCGCGTTCACGGCGTTTCTCACGTCTGCGCTCTATTTCCTCCAACTCGTGCAAATTCGGTAGGCTACCCATGATGATTGACGTTCAGAAATTTCAAACAAGGATGCTCAATGCGGTGCCTTATTGATAGAGGGAAAAGCGTTGAGGAATATGGAGCATCGACAAGTATGCACATTAATATAGTAAACTACATATACATACGCTTATATGCGTGCAAATATATAGAAGATGTATGTAACACATTGTTGTTTAGACAGGTATTCGAATAGTTTGTTACTTAGCAGATGAAAGAGCCTTTGCCTTTGTGTTTGTTTATTGACTCATTTGTGATACCAACACAAGCATTGCTTTTGTTTCCTTTGTGCTGATACAAAATAGGCTTCGAAATTTTTAATTAAATGTTCTTAACTTGTTTTGGCTTTTTTGATCAACCATTTGCGGTTGATTGCGCGGGATCAGCCTCAATTAAGGTACAGACTGCGGAATATACACATTCACTTTATTGCTGCTCCTGCTGTCGGTATGTTTTATACATTTTTTTGTTATAAGTGCTATTTTTACCTCGACTGTTTTCACATTTTTGTGTTTTTCTGGATTTTATACACTGTTTCTTTATTTTTCATGTACGTTTGTATGTTTTTATGTACTGTTGTTCTTTTTGCAGTAGTGGCACCAATATATGAGTATTTATATACAACTTGTTAAGGTATTTCAGCGGGGATTATTGCTTTCAAGCCACGTGCATCTCGCTTCGGACACCCAACAAACAAACTTGCCAATCAATGAAGTCGCGCTTGAATGAGCGCTAATGGTGCGGTTAGCTGAGTTTAAAAGAAAACTAATTTAAGATGTGTCCTTGCGTATAATCTGTTGTTGATTTGAAGAAAGTTAGCGACACGTATCTAGGATATGTCTCTATTTCTGTTAGTATTGTAACGAACACGTTCATTGACAGTGGACATTATAATGTACATAAATAGTTGTAGTAGTTGCTGTGATTCATTGCTATCAGTGGAAAGCATTGCAATCAGAACCGTAAACTGTCATTCATTTCGAATTAATTTAATTTATTATTGTATGTAGTCGGATCAACTTTTTTTTTTTTTTTTAATTCCACCAATAAGTACCACTTGTAAGTTCCTTTCACATTTTTCCCGCTCTTTAACTACTAATATTTCCTTTGTGAACAGGTGTTATTTTTCCAATGTTTTCTGCAATTGTAAAGAGTAGAATACGTTTCTATCAAAACAAAGATATTAAAATTATCGCCATATATGTAGGTATGTATGTATATATACTTATACTTATGTAATTATACATTAACAATTACTCAAGTATGAAAACTAATATGAGAAAAAACATTTTATTCTTTGAGAGTTGATAGTCTCCAATGTATTTTTTTATGACCAAATAAGATAAAGGGCGAACTTGCCCTTTACACACACAGCACAACCATGGCAACCTAGTAACCGATGTCAAGAACCTACATTTTCACCCAATTGAATGGCAGCAGCACTGAACCCGAGCCCCCAGTCGATGACAATGGAGTCGATGTCCCGCTGCCTGACTATGACGACGTATGAATAGCGCTTATGCGGATGAAAAACCGCCGCGCGCGTCTGAATTTGGCATCCCGGCGAAACTGATATGGCTGTGTAAAATGGCGTTGAGCAAAATCACCAGCTCCATCAGAATTGGGAAAGACCACTCCGAGCCGTTTGCTGCCAAACGGGGTTTTAGGCAGGGCGACTCCCTTTCATGTGATTTCTTTAATCTGATAATGGAGAAGATAATAATAGCCGCAGAAATGAACCTCTCAGGCGTAAAAACGCTGGCGTATGCCGACGACATCGACATTATCGGTAAAAACAAGGGCTTCGTCTGTTCTGCCTTCTCGGCATTAAATAGAAAAGCAAAGCGAATGGGTCTGGTGGCGAACAAGTACAAAACGAAGAATCTTCTGTATTCATACTTTTACTTGGAAGTAGTATCGAAAAAAAGTATCGATACCTGAAAAATATCGGGTCTAAGGTATCGATAGCTACTCATATCGATAAGATAACTTATATCTCCGGATAATAAAAGTTAATAATTTAGGAAGTGAAAATACAAAACAAATTTTTTTTTTTACAAAAACAAAACCAACTTCAAAAAATAAAACACAAACAAAAAATAAAAAAGGAATAAATAAATTTTTATAACTTAAGTATCACTCAAGAGTTATCAACTTATGTATCTAAGCGCTTATATACAACCATGTATATTTAAAGTCGGGCGGGGCAAGCGTCTACAATGCACTATTAGAACGACAGTTTTCATCGCAGTTGCCTTACTTAATCCCGTATTCCGGCTATATCGAGTGTGTAAAAAAAAATCAATTACGTAGAAAAGTTAAGAGCCAAAAATTTAAATACGATAGTTAGAAAATGTCTTCCTATTACATCACCTCGTAGAATTTCATATACAGTTGGAAATGCGAAGAGTATAGAAAAAAAATTATACGGAATAAATTTTACCAAGAAAATTTCTTAAAAACAATTCAGTGGGATATAGAGCTGGAGAACTATTGATTGTCGTGGCCATATTCCTAAAACTCGCTTTCAAAGTGTTTTCGTTGTCGGTCAGAACATGACTATTTTTTTCAGAATATAGAAAAATTTTTCGCTCTGCTGTTAGTGGACATGAAACCCACCAAAAACTAAAAATCTAAAAAAAAATTACATAGCGCACTTTGCAAGTGGACTACTCAATTGTTGAATATGCTATCTTATTTGTCCCTTCTTTTTATACAATTAAGGAGCGGCTGAATGGTTTAACGATGTTAGCGGTACATAATGATGTGCCGATTACAACACAAGAAGTAATTGAAAAAATGTGTGTTAAGCAACGAAGATTAAAAATCGCTTTATAAGTAATAAGATTTTGTAGACTTGTACATAAATAAATGTAAATAGATACGCGTAAATATATAAATATGCAGATATATTTAATGTGTAAAAACTGAAGTGCATACTAACGAAACTTCTACAAAACAAAACTGGACTACACACTAATTAATTAAAATGGTGTAGTAATTTAATTTTTTAAATTTAAATAAAGCATGAATTCCCCGGGGAATAACCGAGTAGACAAAAAATATATAACGGTAGAAATGGCACATACATACATATATGAAAGAATGCCCACAGGCGACGCACTATAGGCAAAACACGAGTTTTTTTTCAAAATCGTAGATCTTCGCTTAGAAAAGAGATAATGGAATGCAGCATTTAACCCTTTAATGCAGAGTCTGTCATATATAAAACGCTTTTTAACCCTTTCAAGGCAGAGGAAAGAGGTTCTCAATATGCTTTTCAACGTGCTTTTTCTCACGTTGAGGTAGATATTAGTCGTAGAAAATTTTTCCATAGTAAAATAATAATAAAAAAATAAATAAATAAATAAAATAAAATAAAAAAATAAAAATTTTAAAAATAAAAATAAACAAAAAATAAAAATAAATAAAAAGTACGTTGAAAACATATTGAGAACCATTTTGCCTCTGCCTTGAAAGGGTTAAAAAGCGTTTCATATATGACAGACTCTGCATTAAAGGGTTAACTGCTGCACTTTCGTAAAGATATCGATCAGCATAACCATTTTCGTTATATAAATTTTTTTGTGAAAGTTGATAGTTTACGAGTTATTAGAGCTTAAAGGTAGCTTTTCTTTTTCCAATCTGGCCACTCGGGTACAGCATCCAATGTCCCAAGAATCGAGTCTTAAGATAAAATAAAGAGAAATCTTTCAGAAACAGTGCTAATGGTGTATTAAATGTATTGTTTTCTAGTGGAATGGGAGCCAAAATCCAAAATTAAAAAAAAGTGACATTTTGAACGGTATTTTGAGGGTTAAGTTATTGTTGTTGTAACTTCTCTGTAGTTTTCCTATATTATATGATCATTTATCTTCACGATAAAAAAATTTTCATTCCATTATCTCTTTTCTAAGCGAAGATCTACGATTTTGAAAAAAAAACTCGTGTTTTGCCTATAGTGCGACGCCTCTAGCCATTGTGTATCACAACTTTAAGTTATCGATGCAAATTTTTTTTGTTTACTTCTCGGGCAATATTTTTTTATAGATAAATATGTATGTACATTGGATCCTTGCCTAAAGGCCTCTGTGGTAAAACTCTCCCCCCACGTCTCCCTTCTTTGCTATTTAAAGTGAAAGATTATGCTCCTACAATAGGGATTTCCAGCAGATATCTTTAACATTTAGCTATAAAGAGAATCGATGCTGAAATATTTAAAAAGCTATAGGTCCGACCTTTAATTAGGTAAGAATTACGTAACTGTCTGAAACCCTCATCATTCGTGATTCCAATAATTCAAATGATTATAAAAAAAACAGGGTGCTTTTTAAAAAAAATAACAATATACTGATCCGATTCGGCTGGCAGCCAGGATCTTAAAAATAGAATTTCGTTCAAATATTCATTCCAGGAAAATAATAATTTATTTTCCATATCCACCTGCCTAGCTCGCTATATGCACAAATTCTTCAAACCAGTCGCAGAAGACCCATTAAAAATGAAGTACAAAAACTAAAATCGAAAAACGCTGCTGACGTTACAAGTTCCCCGAATTCTAAAAGTGCTAAAGGAATGAGAATGAAGAATTCTTTTAAAAACAGCTTCAGAAAAACCTGACACATCTGGTTTGGTTTGTAAGCGCTGTTTAAACAACAATCTCACCATTATGCTAGATTTTTCAAGTGAACATGAAAGTCAGGAGGATACATCCGACATTTGCAGCCCCGATGCAATTCTCATTACTTTTTATTAAATAAAATTTTCAATTTTTAAATTCAAGTCGCATCCGCTCATGTCTAAAATTTCATATCCGCAACATCCCTAGTACGTACATACATATGTCACAGCAACAATGCATTCCCAAATATGCACGTATGCCTTTCGTACCTACATTTGTGTATACATGCATATGTAAATATTGCTATGTGCACAGAAAGATTGAAACTAAATTACAAGAAGACTAGAGGAATGAAAGCTAAACTGCGGAACACAAAATTACTCTAATCTTCATACATACATAGTTAAATATGTATAAGCATATGTACGCACATATGTATATGTATACTTGCATATCCTTATGTTCTCGCAACAACATAAACAAATAGTTATGTATGTAAACACAGAGCAACGCCCATTGTTTGCCTCCATGGCTACAATTTTGTTAAATGCGTAAATTATAACCAACAGATGTTGTATGCCTAGGCAAATTGCTCTAACAAAAAAAGTAAATGAATACATGCCTAAATAAAAATA